TCAAACAGAAAGACAGATTGAGATAAAACTACATGGCTATTCATAGTATCACAATGAAAACAACCAAATTAAACATCACAGCATTCAGCAAATGAGGTAAATCCTATCTGCAATCACTGCTGCTGGTACTGGCAGGTACTTTCTTTAATCAATGCAACCAATCTAAATTAATATACTTACACTCTGCCATATCGTGACAAAATGTATGTGCCAAGTTTTTATTTTTAATCATTTCATCCCAAGCAAAGTGATAATGCCACGAGGACACTGGGTTACAGGGAGAGAATGAGAAGACTTTAGTGAGGAGAAAGGATAATAATAATAAAAAAAAAAAACAGGATTCAGGAAGGCAGAAGATGGTGATAGGTTATGCATTTAAATTATTGAAGATTGTAGATGGTAAGAGAAGCAAGAAATCAGAAGGGAGTTCTATAGGCAAGTGCAAGAAAAGAAACTATTAGAACAAAACATACAGTTGCATCCATCTAGTCCAACAGTAAAATAGTGAGACTTAGTTGCCAATCTAGTAACACACTTAAATTCATGCAGACGAGGCACCAAGTAGGAAAGCCCATCCGAACAATTCCTATGAAAATATATTTGCAAAAAAGACAGAGGGTTACAGATTTAAAAATAGATTTTTAAAATATGAAAATAAAATTTCAATTCATTTGAATTTTTTATTCAGTAATTTACCTATAATGAACATTCAGGTAGATAGCTTACAGCCAAATCACACTGTTTCCTATAGGATCATAGAAGTTAAGCAAAATATAAGATGGATGACCACTTTGGAATATCAAGTGTTGTAAGCTTGGATGTTTGGGTGTATAATCAATAAGACTCGGAATTGTTAACAGAGATTAGAGTTACAATTCCAGTCAGGTTTGTTATATTCACTTACGTGCAAATACCCTTAGGAAAGGTAGGAATCCACCAATTCTCCCCACCTCCCACCCCCGTTATGGGTCAATTAGTAAGACTTGTATAACTAAACCACTGGTATCTCCAAAAATAAAATAAAATTGTGTGCAAAATATTCATATTTCAATATTAAATAACCCATAGAGGTATTGATATGCCACTAAGCAAAAACAACTAACAATAAAGGTAGATAAATAATTAATAGTACAGAAAATGGAATTGGTGAGACAGTTTTTATTATGCCCTTGGGGAAGGGATGAACCAATTTCTTCTACCCCATCCTCAGCCATGGTTTAGAAAGCAGAGAAGATCTAGCTCTCTATTCTTGCTGGCAAGGAGTCTGAGAAGAGCAACTTTGAATTCAAAACAATGAATTTACATTTGGACTATTGACCTCATTTTTATTGTTATTATAATGTTTTGGCTATTGTGCCCTTCATCCTTCTTCAGGACTATGTCAATACAGATAACTCTCAGGGAATTTCAAACTGAACCTTTTATTTAAATTACAGGGGTAGATTCTTCTTGTTCCATGTCAAATAATAACTTGTCTTGATCTTTTTTTTAGTACTGCTGTGTTATTGCTTATCCTGTTTCTTAATATTTTGCTTAATTTTGGAAGGTATCTTTTGCTATTCCAATGCACATTCTGATTTTGGTGTGACATTTCCCATATATATGACATTTCTCAGATATTTCAACTACTGTACTCTTTGAGATCTCCCTTTTCTTTTTTTTTTTTTTTTTTTTTACTGATAAACCTATATTCTATCTTCTTACAAGTGGTAGTTAGTCCTTTATTCTCCCTTTCCTTTATTACTTTGTCTCGGTCTTGCTCTTATTTCCAGTCGGATTGTCCTCATCTGTTGACACAATGGGTGGATGAAAAGGTGTGGCTGACAAGCTGTTTCTTACTTTAGACAATGGATTATTTTTAAACAAGTGAGGTGGGGCAAGTAAGTTGACAAGCTGTTCACTACTTCCTTAGTCAAAGGAGTTAGTATTAAAGACCGAGTTAAAATAAGTTAGAATGAAAGAGAAGGTTAATAAAGAAAGAAAAAGAAGCTCAACATAAATGTATTTAGAAAATATTATTGGAAAAAAAATCTCAAAACTGCGAAAGAAATTTTGAATATCATTACTATGTAAGTGCTATTACTGAGGTATGGTCAGACTATCATATCTATATGATCTGCAAAATGATCTTTGCATAATTCTGACAGATCCTTACTAAAGAAAATAAAATACTAGATCACATAAACTGTAAAAAAATGATTACAAATAGGAGAAGCATTAATCATAAAAAACAACCAACCAAACATCAATACAATGCTATCAAATTTAGGAAGAAGCATACTAAATATATTTCATTAAAAGGAAAATAAAAACATAACTTCTTATACTAAGGTAAAACAAATAGAAGTATAACTTTCTATTTTATAATATTTGTTATCAATTTGAAATTGTCATAAATCATGTTTGTCAAAATTAATTTTTATTCACACTTATGGATTTAGACAATGTTTTTTTTTTTTCCTTTAAAGTATTTGCAAAACATTGAGTAATGTTAAGTTTCCAAAGAAAAAATACTATGAAAAGTGGGAAATATATTTGGGGGAAATTTGTTCAATGAAATTACTTATTAAAAAAAAAACAACAAAAAAAACAAAAAAACAACAAAAAAAAACAAAAAAACAAAAAAAAAAAAAAAACAATTTTTTCTTGTTTGGATATTAATAAGAAAAAAGAAATTATAGTTTTACACTGAATGGTTACAAACAGTAACTATTAAAGATAAATCCATATAACTTTAGCATGCACAAAATTTTAGCTGTTTGATAGCAAAATCACTGTATTTTGTAGTTTTCAAGTGTGAGTAAATCTATCTGAAGGAAACAAAGTATAAAAATTATAGACTTTATCAACTTCAATACTTACAGATGAATAAACTGTTGTTTTAAGAAAAGAAGTCCTTGTTAAATTATCTGATTGTTTGTAATTCTTATGGCTTAAGAACTACTTGGTTATTTTTTAATGTGGATTCAGTAAAAGATTTTAAGTGAAATATAAAACATCAAAATGTCTTCGCCTATTAAATTCTTCTCTTCTCATTGCCAGTTTAATAAATTAATATGTGAAACATAAATGATAATTAAAAAATTTATGCTTACACTGTTCTAACAAAACATTTTAAAAAGTATTTTGAAAGCTTCAATTTTTTAAGGACGATATTTTTCAATGATTATAATTTTTAAATGTAGTAAACAATGTAATAATCTTTACTTGATATTACATTGTTACAGTGTTATTACATTATTATTATATTTTAAATGTAGTAAACAAACACAAGGTAATATTCTTTACTTGATTATTTAAATTTTCTGTTGACTAGTCAATATTAACAGTCACAATGAAATGAATTTATCGAAAAAAAATTTGAACAAAGTAACTATAAACAAAATATTTTTTTTGCTATCCTCTGCCAGCCATAATGATGGAGAAAGCATTACTCGCACCATTGCCAGTGAGATATGCTGTAAGAGCTACTCCATTTCGCAAAATTATTTAAATAAGGATTGGCTCTTTTGTCAAAGATTGGAGTATCTATGCACTGTACCTTGAATTAGTGTTGTATCTGTGTTTCCTGATTAAATTTGTATATTCAAGTTAATTTTACTATGCTGTTCAAGTGGTAGAATAGCAGTATAATGAATATGATCCTTGAATGATAACCTCTAGTCTAAATATTCAAATTATGGCAGGATTCACTATTTTTTCACATTTATTTGTTTCACTCATAAAATTTGAAAGAAATGAAGTGAGAGAATATGATATATCAGACCAAAGTGGGTAATTGAATGATAAAAATGGAAAATCCCATGTGACACGTTTCACTTGTCAAAATGACTTCTTCAGACTAAAGTTTTTATTGCCCCCCCCCTCCAATCTCATCAATAAAAACATTCATCAGTCTCATGACTGGCTGCGGCTGTAGGGTTGCTGTGCAGCTGAGGATCTGATCAGTTCTATCCACATATCCAAGTTGAAAATCAGAGAGGTATTAATGTGTAGTGTGTCTTGGGCAAGTAGAACAGTTGAAATCTATATCTAATCTTGGTTCTCTATTCTTGCTGGCAATGAGTCTGAGAGGAGCAACTTTGAATTCAAAACCATAAATAAGGTATTTACATTTGGACTATTGACCTCATTTTTATTGTTATTATCATTGTTCTTGCTATTATGTCCTTCATCCTTCTTCAGGACTATGTCAATCCAGATAACCCTCAGGGAATTTTAAACTGAACCTTTTATTTAATCTACAGGGGTAGATTCTTTTTGTTCCATGTCAAGTAATAACTTGTCTTGGTCTTTTTTTTTTTTTAGTACTGCTGCATTATTGGCTGAAGCCTATTCTTATCTAATAACCATAGCCGATGCCTTCCAACTTAAAGATTTACCTTGGTCACAGACATATGGCCATTGATGACATTGAGGGGAAATCTCCACCCTGGTTGTTGACTTCAGTCTACGTAGCCTACTATCCAGCGATGACATGTTATTCCCACACTGACTTCATGCATAGTTATGGAGCCCAGTCTACTCTATTGTACTAGATGACCATTGATCCTGTAAGAAGGTTCATCAGCCCCTTGACAGGTCTTACTTTCAATCCTGTCAAATTTTTAGCCAACCTCATTACCAGAATGGCCTGACAATGTGGTAGATAGTACAGTGATTTGAAGGATAAAAACATTATTTAGTCTGAAAAAGTTCTTTTTGTCATTCACTGTATAAAAGATCCAAGAACCACTCCAAGCAGAGGCTTACTTAATGAGTAATATGATTAAGCAATAATACTGATGATTAGGGGCTACTTCATGCTTTAAGCTAAATTATAATAAAACTACAAAATCAAATCAGATACAAGACGAGTAGTTCATTGGGATCCTTCTGGCCTTCTTAGTTGACTTTAAGAATTCCAAGCTGCATTTTAAAAGATAGATCCCCTATAGCTGCATCAAATATTTATTTCAATCTATCTATTAATCCAAACTTTTCCAATGCTTTCAGCTTATAGTCATATCATGTTGAAATACCGGTTGTCGTATGATCACCAAAGTTAAGCAACATCAAGCCTAGTCAGTACCTTGATGGGTGACCACTTTGGAATACCAGGTGCTGTAAACTTGAATATGTGGGTGGTGCAATGGATAATGGCTTGGAATTGTTAATCAGAGAATAATTCAATTCCAATTCCAGTCAGGATTGTTATATTTAATTATGCACAAATATGCTTGGAAAAGATATGAATCTACCTCTTCTCCTCTCAGCCATGGGTTAATTATTTGTAAACCTTGCATCAGTAAATCTCAAAAAAATTTTAACAGTTTAAAAATATTTTCTAGCTTTAAATAACCTGCAAAAGGTTGATAAAAAAAAAACAAAAAAAACAGCAAATTAATCAATCAGTTTTTACCAGGCAAGGTAAATTAATGTTAACCTTTACCACACTGCAGGCAACAATAGTTGCCATAGAATTCTCTCCCTTTGCTACTCTAGGCGCATTCTGTCATCTTGAGATGGTTGCTATAAACATTTGTCAACTCTTATTTCCGGTATTTTAAGCTGGAAATTGCTTACTATTGCTTTGGAACAAGGCTAAACTTCCATTTTCCAATGCCATTTTGAATTCTTCTAGACTCTACACTAGGTGTAATGTCGATTAAACCCACGTTAATTTTTTTCACGATTTATTTTTTTTTTAAACAAAAATGGCCGCATCAATATCCAACAAAGCTTTTATTCAGTTTTTTCTTTAATTAGGACTCCCATGATGATTTTGAAGGCTTTACTTGAGTGGATATTGACAGTAAAGTGGTTGAAGATGATACCCAAGGAGGAAAGCGATGGCGACCACTAGCGGTTATTATAATCCATGCCTGACTAATTTTATGGAAGCTATTGGCAACCATTGATATACCTGATGGTCTTTCTGAAGGGGAATTATTTTGTCTATTTATAGATGACAAAATAACTTTATTCATCAACAAGACAAATAAATCAGAGTCAGGTGAAAGAAAGAGCAAACAAATGTTAGTGTCTTCTCATATGTAAACACAAGGAAACATTTCACTTTTTTGACAAAATGAAAGCCTTCTTAGAAATTTTGCTTCTTATTGCACCCCCAGAACTCCACAAGGAGTAATTAAAGTTAAAGTACATTTCATTTTTAATGTATTTGTTTTTTTTATTTTGCTTTTATTTCACATTTCAATTTTTTCTTTTCAACATCAAAACATGCATGCAAAAACGTAATGCATTACACCAAAATATTACTCATTCATTCTTTTATTAGTGTACAAAAATTAAAATCTATACGCACAATACAAAGAAAGTTATAACAATTTTAAAACAGTAGGTATTCATGTTTTTGCACCCACAAAAAATGCAGTGGCAGGGGGAACAGTTCTAGAAAGAAATTAGTGTGGTAAAGGTTAAAGATCACATTGACTTACAAGAAAGATATTTCTAATTTGTTTCAATTATACAGCAATAAAATATTAACATTTCAGCCTACACCCTTAATTACTGAAAATACCAAAAAACTACTGAATACTGAAACAAGGATAGGAGTGCTGAAAATTTCTCATCCATTTTCCAAAATAACTATTTTAATGGCCAAACATCGGAACTGAATTTCATTTAGAAGGATTAAAGAAACTCAAGACATAATGTGCCAAGTATGTTGAAGTGAACATTATAATGTGTATATATGTTCCATAGGTCAAGATGATTCTTCTTAGTCAGGTCAAGAACTTTTCAGCATCCCTTTCATATATAAACTGTGTGGAGATAAGAATCAACAATGCATAATGACTGTCAGTTTCTTGCCTCAAGCAATTTTCAGACTAAATTTCACTACTCTATATAGGTCACTGAAGGATTAATGGAAGTTGAGGCAAGGAAAAAACAAACGAGAACCCGCACAACTTGGCAAACTTTCTTCAAAAACCCACATAATCAAACAAATCCCACAATCCATTAGCAGCAGATTATCTGAAAACTCACCAAATGAAAATATTTTCAATTAAGCAAAAAACAAATATGACAGTTGCTTTCAATAAAACTTAGATTTACATCAAACCGAAAAGAAAAATAAATAAAAGAAAAATAAATAAAAGAAAAAAATCTAATGGAAAAAGAAATATATAGTTCAATTATGGCATAATAAAAATGTGAAAGGAAATATAAGTAAAATATTCTTCACATTCATTAAAAAAAAAAAAAAAAAAAAAAGCAGCAGCACACTCCACTTTTAACAAGCAAACTGCACAAAATATTGAACAGAAATGATCTAAAAATTTGGCTATATTTGCACTGGAAATGTTCTACAAATAAAAAACACAACAGAAAAATCAGTACACTACAAACACCCACACCTTCCACCTGTAACTGCAGAGCAAAGTATGAATACTCACAACATGGTAACTGCTTACAAACCAATGTAATATACAAAGTTACTGTAAGATCCAAAGGAAATCCAAGAAAAAATATTAGAATGACAAAATGTCCTAGATAACTGAAACTACTCACATAAAATATAAAAACAAAAAATGTGCAAATAGTAAAACCTTCTCAAAATATATATAGAAACTAAAAAAAAAAAAAAAATAGCATAGAAACTGAGAACAACACTTCAAAACAAATAACTACTGCCGAGATGAGAAAATAGCAATAATCATCTTTCCAAAACAAGATAAACTCTGAAACAAAATATCAAAACTGATTTCCAAATACAAACAAAAACTACACTATCTGCAATTACATTATGGCACAAAAGACTAAATATCTCATAACCTAAATTTAAGAGCTTATTTCAAATACCAAAATTTAGAACAGCAGAAAATATATAAATACAAAATGAAATATATAAAAATAAATTTAAAATAATAAGCAAACTAAAGGTTATGGCTAAATTATTCCTAAACAAAAGAACTGGGAAGGTCTGATTCTTCTTTATCTCACTTCATCTAATCCTCCAGTGATCTATATATAGAGCCAAAATAGAAATGGCAATAGAGAAGAGTGAACATGAGTGGCTGGTTGTGGGTATAGGCAAAAAGAAGGGCCTGACATAATGACCTCAATACCCTTAAGTTCCCAGGGGCAAAGACGCAAAGTCCCATGGGAGGCCCAAGTCAGTTATGCGGCAATGTTAAAACAAAAGCAAAAATATGAGACAGGAAATAAAAAGATAGAGAAACTTAAAGCATGAAAACAGTCACTGGAGGCAAAAAAAAAAATAAAATAGGTGTGCTGGTTAGGGAGGGGAACCGCTTCCTCTGCCTGTCTTCTTCAACTTATATATATATATATATATATATATATATATATATATATAAAAGACCAGAGGAAAATAAATAAAAATGCATCACTATTCATAACAAGATCCCTGAATACCACTGCCTTCAAGTTAACTCATCTGAAAAAACTAAAAAGCCACACAACCTTTGGGAAGACATACTTTTCTAGACCAAGACAAAAAGGACCTGACCCTCAGAAGAAAGCTATAAGATCTGAAATTCCTGCTCTCTCTCAAACTCACAAATGGAGAAAAGGATACTGAGACTCGAATGAACTTTCCAAACACTTCCAGCCTTCTCACTTTAATCAGGACTGGTTTGGAAGTGCAGCAGATATGAGGCATAAAAGAAGGAAACAGTCTTCAATATGTTGCCCTCATTAACCTTATATGAAATCCAAGAAACATAAAACCTAAAGCAATTCTATTCAGAGATTGTCCATTTTCATTCAACCCTTTCATGTAAAGAGGTTTAAAAATACTATTCTTAGGATATGAGCAGCCTCTCCCAGGACAGTACAATAAAGACTGGCAGACGACATGGTTCACTTGAACAGGCAGTTGGGGTTCACACTCTGCCTATGTTCAATTCAAAAGACTAACTCGATGAAAATGTCATTTTAGTTAGAGAGTCTGAGGTTGAAGCCTTCCAATGCAAGACTTTTTTGATCCCCAGCATGTACATTGTGTTTTAAAGAGACCAGGTTTATTACAAGTAACTATGAGAATATCCTAGTTGCTCAAAAGATAGTTCTTCATTGGTAGGAAATTCTTTGAAGGTACTGTGTATCCTCACAGTTACAGATCTGGTGGGCACAAATGACAATGTCTCATTGACTAGTGGGTGTTTGGAATGCAGTCTGATTGCAATATAGATTATACTGGTAAGAAACTGGTTTTGATTGATTTGCTTTCTACAGCTTTTCAATCCTTTGCAGGTTATTTAAAGCCAGAAAATAGTTTTACATTGTTAGAATTTTTTAGCGATAATAATGATTTAGTGATGCAAGTCTAATTAACCCATAGTTGGGGGAGAAGAGGTGGATTCATACCTTTCCCAAGGGTATTTGTGCATAATTGAAAGGTATTTGCATGTAAGTGAATATAAACCCAACTGAAATTGGAACCCAGCTCTCCAATTTCCAACTCTGTGTTGTTAACAATTAGACCACACACACCTTTGAGTTTAAGGTATCTAGCATTCCCAAGTGGTCACTGATCTAGGTACTAACCAGGCTTGACGTTGCTTAACTTTGATCATACAAGAACTGGTGCTTCAATGTGATGTGGCTATAAGTCTAGGGAGTGATTGGATACTAATAACTCAGACATGAAGCCATATAAGACTTAATGGATAATCTTGTTAATAATTTTAAAAGTCAGCATCAATTACGGGGATGCTGTATGGACTTTGGCTAATAGGAGCAACTCAGACTCAGTATTGCATATCACCTATATGAATCAAGTTTTATTTAAGAAAGTCAAAGTAAGGCTCTGAGGCTGTCCCAAGTTTTCACCATATCATACTTATTATAAAACCCAGGTTGTGTGTGTGTGTGTGTCTGTACGTTTATATATTGGATTGGATTTCCTACATTTTTCAACCGATTTCAACAAAACTTCACAGGACTACGTAAAATTACCTTGCGGTGGTTCTGAAAGCACCAAAAATTGGAAAAACACAATTGTTTTGCACGAAATCAATTTGAAAACATGATTAAGATGCATCGCTTTCGAGGAATGAAAATGGGATAACTCATATCGAGTTATACCTATTATAAAACCCAGGTTGTTTGTGTGTGTGTGTGTGTGTGTTCGTTTA